CACAGTCTCTTTGATCACAAAGCCAGGTGCTCCAAGAATGTTCCTTGTGTGGGTTATGTGAGCCTTCCTATTGTACTTGAGTCTTCATTGCTATGGCTTGTTCACGTGGGAAGAGGACCCTTAGCTTAGGCTGGCTGATTGTGAGGACTAACTTTCACAGCAGTGTGTGAGCTGCTGTGCAAATGCTGGCTACACAGAGCCTATTTTGCCTTTCATGGGTTTTTGTGCCTGCTGAGATCACTCTTTGGATATGTTGGTTGTTAAACTAATTGGGTCCTGCTCTGATGTTTTCTGAAACTGGTAATTGGTTGTCTTGGTTTCAGAGACTTTGGGGAGGGTCTCTGGTGAAGGTCGTCAGACACTGACTGTGATTGGCTTTGGGAAACTTGTTTGGACATACAATGCAAACCACCGTTTTTGGCTGTCTTTGCTGTGCCTGGATTATGAAAAAGCAAGCTGTATGTCAAGTTTTGCTTCCACAGGCACCAGGGAAGGTGAGCTAAAGGCCCAAGGCCCCCAGCCTGACTTCGTGCTAGGTTCAGTCACTGAAAAAGCCTCTGGCTGTACTCAAGTTGCATGGGGTAGGTTCGCAGTCTGTCACCAGATAGGGGCAAGTAGTGTTCACCAGACTTTTATAGGTTCAAACTTGATCCCCGTGTTGGGTCTGAGACAACTCTGCCAAATTCCAGGGTATCCCAAGTCTAGCTACCATCAGAGTGCCCACAGACCTTTGTGATGGGCTTGGGTCTTAGGGAGTTTTCAGGGCGAGGCCAGCAGTTTATCAGCCTCTAACAGACCAAGATTTTGCCGTGTGAAGGGAGGTTCTGGTTGGATGTTCCACGAAAAAATAACCCTTGTTCTTGAGCCAAACAACTCAAGTCTGTTTCAGATTTTGGTGAATCCTCCTGGAGAGCCAAAGGAAGGAGCCCGTGAATCTCCCATGAGGAGGCAGCCTGTCAGGCACACAGGAAGGTGGTGGAATGACCCATGCTCTAGAGCCGCAAAGCTCAGTCACTGGTATCCTGAGTCTGCCTGGATCTCTACATCCCAGCTTAGGCAGCTGACTCCTCCATAGGGTGTGAGCTTTGCAGGGTGCAGACACAGGGAGTGTGGACTGTGGGCTAATGCATCCCCCCAGGTTGAATCCATGAGGGAAATGCTCCACCCAAGAAAAATGATGTCTGCAGAGTGGGAAAGGGACTCAGCACAGGAATCCTAGTGGTTGTCCCCTCAGCTCTCTTCCTAGTGTCACTAACCGGTCTCTCCTCACATGACCCTAGCCCACTCAACCTGCCTCTGTTGTCTGCATGTCTGCAAATGAAATGTTGTGCACTGGCCCTTTTAAGGGGAATCCTATGCTTCTCAAAGGCTTCTCTCCCCCTGACAGACTGAATCCCCACTGATTTTCATGGTCAGATGTTATGTGGGTGCCTTCCTGAATCTGGTGCTCTGGGATGGGGAGCCCTGTGTAGGATTGACCCATGATCCTGAAGCTATCATTCTGTAATCTCAATCACCACCTGTGGGAGTGGGCCCAGCCCTGTTCATGTCTCCACCCTTCCTATCGGTCTCAGAGTGGCTTCTTCTATAAATCCTTGGTTGTAAGACTTCTGTTCAGTTAGTCTTCAATTGGTTAATTCAAGTTGATTGTTCTATATTTTAGTCAAATTCCAGTTTGGTCCTGGGAGGAGGTAAGTGTACTTTCCACCTACTTCGCTGCCTTCTTGGATCTCCAATACTCCGTATCTTATTTAAATCTTTTGGTTTAGCAGACTTTCTCTGACATCATGCTGCTGATCAAAGTGGGGAGATATGAAGTGCAACTCCTCACTTCTGCCAGGTGGTAGGAAGATTCAGGCTCACCACTCAGCTGCTTTTAACACCAAGGCAGGGAAAGGGGTACTTCATTACTGTAGGATACCATGGGGGTGGGAGGGCTTCTTACTGATTGATAGGTAGGAAAAGCAGGCTCCCCAAGTGGCCTCTTCTGACACCATAGTGGGTGGGGTGGACCATCAGGCAGGAGTAAAAGTCCTCTATTCCCACCCAAGCAGAAAATCCAAGGAAGGCTCATTGCAGCCACGCAGGGTGGTTCCGTGGTCGTTTTTATTGTATTTGGTTAGAACAGAAGTTGTTTGCCTTTCTTGGTTGACTCTTTCCTGGTCCTTGGCTGAAGAGAGTAGTCTTTTCTTGTCTGTTCCCATCAGTGTTTCTGTTCCCAATATGGGATAAAAGAGGCAAAAGAAAACCCAGGGAACTCACTGCTGTGTTATTACTTGCATCCCAAGGTCCTTAGCCAGTTTGCCTGCTTCTCTTCATCTTTCAAACTTTTCTTATATTTTATACATGTACAGGATTTTAGTTGTACTTAGTGGGAAAAATATGAAATTTGTGTACTCCATCATCCTTGCTACTTTGTTTTAAATAGTGAATTTTCTGAAACTGTGGTCCTAGGAAATGGCTTATTTTGCACATCCTACCTAATAAAAGAGTAATATGCAAATTAACCATCACTCCTCTCCACAAGCCACACCTACCAGCCAATTCGAGAAAATATGCAAATAAACACAACCAAAATGGCTACAGCCACAGAGAGCAGGAGGGTGGCATTTCCCTGGCAACAGAGGAAGCCAAGCTTTCTGCCTGCCCTTGCCAGCCTAAGCCTCCACTCAAAGCTACAGTTTCAATTACAGAAGGTAAACAAATCTAAACAGAAATGGCTGCCGCCACAGAGCCAGCAAGAGGCTTGGCTCCGCTCCAGGTTACAAAGTTTCAATTGTAAAAAGTAAATATACCAGGGCCTCTGCTTGGGTTGCTGGAGGGCGTGGCTGGCCAGCAAACCACCTCAGGCCCCTTGCTCCGGCTGCCCCAAGGCCCAAGGGAACCCCCACCCTGATCCAGGACAACCTTCAGGGAAACCAGCTGGCCCCCACCCGTGCACCATCCTCTTCCTACCTAATAAAAGAGTAATATGCAGATTGACCATCACTCCAACACACAATGTGGCTGCCCCCATGTGGCCAAAGATCTTGCCCCTATGTGGACACAAGATGGCCAGGGGGGAGGGCAGTTGGGAGGTACCAGGCCTGCAAGGGAGGGCAGTTGAAGGCGATCAACCCTGCAGGGGAGAGCAGTTAGGGGTGACCAGGCGGCAGAGGAGGGAAGTTGGGGCTAGCAGGGGAGCAGTTAGACATCAATCAGGCTGGCATGGGAGTGGTTAGGGGGTGATCAGGCTGTCACACAAAAGCGGTTAGGGGCAATCAGGAAGGCAGGCAGGTGAGCAGTTGGGAACCAGCAGTCCTGTATTGTTAAGAGAAATGTCCAACTACCTGTTTAGACCCGATCCCAGGCAGTTGAACATCCCTCAAGGAGTCCCAGATTGGAGAGGGTGCAAGCTGGGCTGAGGGACAAACCACACCCCTCCTGCCCCCGTGCACTAATTTCATGCACTGAGCCTCTAGTAGTTTATAAAATGGAAGTGTTTTTTAAGTATTTTTAACACAGATGAACTTTCATAACATCTCTATTCAGCTCAGGCAAAACACTAAGGACATGTTCAATCTAACAAAAGGGAATAGGCAAATTAACCATCACTCTGTCACAAAGATGGTGGCACCCATAGCCACAAGATGGTGGGGCCCAGTCCTCTCAGCCCCGCCCGAGTCCCCCAGTCCCGGGGGGGGGGGGGGGGGGGGGCACTGAGAGCGGGCAGCATGAGCAGCTTGGTGAAATGCTTGCCTCGTTGCTGTGACAAGGCAGGCATTCCACCCCAGCCTCGGGGGCCTCTGGGCAGCGGGCATGGAATGGTGGGGAGGGGGGGGTGGGGGGGAGAGGGGGGGATGAGGCAAGCGTTCCATGCCCGGCTGCAGATGGGCCTCTGGGTCACAGAGAGCCTCTGGGCAGAGGGCTCAGAGCCGCCAGGCCCCACAGAGAGCTGCTGGTGTTAAGGAGTCATCAGATGGTTTACTCCTTAAGTCTGATATGACAGATATTTTTAATCAAGACAAAAAAAGAACAGAAGTTTTTAAAAATCTCTAAATTTAATTTACACAAAATAATCTTTTGGCCAAACTTTTGCAATGATAGTTATATTATAGTTCTCCCGCTCCTCACCCTCCGCCCCACACTGAGTCCCTCTACTCTGCTCCCTCTCCATCCTCAGGCCTTCACTGCACATGGTCTGTGTCTGTGGGTTACGTACACATCCATGTTAAGTTCTTTAAAGCAAAGGCACCTGACCTCTAGTTTCTGTAGGGTCTAGTGCTCAGAGGGAAGGAAGATCTTTGGCTTTATAAAACAGTCCCCTTATAAAACCGCTAAAAAGCTAAAGTCTGGTTCTCTTAATATATGGATAAGTTGTTCGGAAAGCTGAGGATAAGGACCTCTAACTTTCCTATGTTTTACACGTGCTTATGTACTGATACAAATTTTTTAGGCTTTCCAAATGTTTTAAGTAAAGCAGCTATTTTTCAAACCTTTAATTGGGCAGACAGTTGATAACTAAAAAACAAATTAGAAAATAAAACAACAATGAAGCAATAAATTACAAAATGAGAATGTTCACAAGCTACTTAACAATATAAATGCAGGGTATTTACAAGATACAAAAGGCTGTACTTCCTGAGCATTCTAACACTGACAATTAAAAACTTCTTTAGTAAATCTTCTTCTTCTCATTGATGGAGCTGAAAAATAGGAGTGCTTGGGGAGAGGAAAAGAAGTGAGAACCAGCAAATCAACAAACATCCCATTAATACCGATGCCTTTTAGTCTGTGCCTTTGTAGAGAACTTTCAAATAATTATAAACTTATAGTAAACGTTTCTGTCTGATTAAATAAAATCTCAATAGTGTCTATTGTGGTCAAATCACAATTAAAACAAAATAACCATATGCCAGCACATATAATCATCGCTCTGGTGGTTGGAAAACTGGCTCGAGGACACAGGAGGGTACATGTTGATGAGGGAAGGCCATGCTTGGAGAAAGCTGCCTTTTTTATCACCTTTTTTCCATTTTTACTTCATCACCATCCTCCTGTCTGAGCTTGAACACAGGAATCTGCTGACCATCCTTAAGCTCTAAGAAGACCTCCTCAAGGTGCCACCTGATAGAAATCAAAAGTAATCCAGAAAACATTGGCAAATGACATGGTCAAAAGAGGGGGAAAACAGGTGTTTGGAATACTGTCTTAAATTTTTTAAACACTAATTTATAACTAGGTGAACATAACGTTTTCACGTTTTATTTATTTTTTAAGAATAGTTTACTGATTTTTCAAGCGAGAGGGAGGGAGAAAAAAAGGGTGGGAGGGCAGGAAGGAGAGAGAGAGAAAATCAATTAGCTGCCTCCTGTATACCCCATACCAAGGGATCAAGCTGTAACCAGGGCATGTGCCCTCGACAGGGAAACTAAATAGCAAACTCCTGTGCCAGAATGATGGTTAGGGCAAGCCCCCACTGGCTAGGACTTAATGAAAGTTTTATTATAGGCTCAGTATTTAACCAGCATCATTTCAAGGCACGTTACCAATGAATGACTGATGGGTAAATTGAAGCGGCCTCAGGAAAAAGGAGCATCTTGCTCCCCACGTCCTAATTCACTTGGGCCTTCAATTCTTGGCTGGAACCTGGCCTGCTCCTCCACTAATCCCATTGGAGTCAATGTGGTCAGGGAGGCATGAGGGGGCCGCCTAACTGCGCCTACTCATTTTGTGTTGGGGAATTAAAACACATCCTGGCTAAACAGCAAACATCTCTGAGAGAGCTTCCCTGAGGAAACGAATGAATTCAGCTTTTGGCAACCAGACAAGAAAAGCCAATTAATGGTATGCAAAAGTTATATAAAAATGTGTTAAGCTGAAGCCGGTTTGGCTTAGTGGTAGAGTGTCGGACTGTGGACTGAAAGGTCCCAGGTTCGATTCCAGTGAAGGGCATGTACCTTGGTTGCGGGCACATCCCCAGAAGGGGGTGTGCAAGAGGCAGTTGGTCGATGTTTCTCTCTCATCGACGTTTCTAGCTCTCTAGCTCTCTCCCTTTCTCTCTGTTAAAAATAAAAATATATATATATTTTCAAAAATGTATTGAATGATTTTGGAATAGGAATCCATGTCTTTAATTATATGTAATGATTGAGGCAGTAGTGTTAGAAGTGTAAAATTATTGTAGAACTACACTATAACTGTAAAGTTCTTCATATTCAGCAGAATAAGGGGTAGACAATTGGATGGATTGCATTGGATAGAATGTCTGGACTAAGAGCCAAAGCACTAGCTTGCTGTAAAACTTTTCAAGCTTTGAAAAAGTAATTTTTATTACCATAAAAATTACTACATTACATAACTACAAATGAAAATGGGAATCAGAATTGTTTCCATCAGAAGGTCCCCTTCCTCCATACCCACCCACTATCCCATAATACCTTTTAAAGGGGGACTCTCTGGAGGAGATGACATAGAGATGACCTGCTGCCTTGGATCCAGAGACAGGAATCTTCAACTAGAAGTGTAAAATGAGAGATAGAATTGGATATGTTGCTGTCTCTCAAGAGATGACAAAATGATAATAGAGCTAACCCTATAAAAACCAGTGCTTATCTACAGAATCTGGCTATTTTATAACTTCAGTCTTCTTGGAGAATCCACCTGGTTTTCTCTCTGGCCCCCTCCAAATGTCCTGCTCTTCTTTGGAAGGTTTGGTGAGATCAAAGGCAGCCCTCTTGTTTAGCAAGGAAACCTTATATGCCAAACTCAATACTCTGAGTACTTGCAATGATTACTTAAAAATCCAGTTAGAGAAGAACAAACTACTGATACATGTAACAATATGGATGAGTATCAACAACATACAAAAAGAGCAAACAGAGCCTCACCCAACAGGACTTCCATACTCTAGAACAGGCTAACGTACACTGGGGGAAAACATCAGAGAAGTGGTCGCCTCTGCAAAAGGGGACCAACTGGGAACAGCATGAGCGAACAGTCCACATCTAGATAGCGGCTTGAAGGGTACTTGTTAAAACTCATCAAATAAAACACATTTGTACTTTCACAGAATGTAAATTTTCCTTTAAAAAAAAAAAAGTCATAAACAAATATTCAACTCTAGTTAATGATATACATTCTTATGTTTAAAGATAAAGTGTGTGGATGTTTGAATAAGGTGTTCATGGACAAACCTTATTATGGCTAGATGAATAGGTATGGGATAGAGCAAGTAGAGCAAAACACTATTTGTAGAATACAGGTAGCTACTATGTGGGTTCCACAGCATACATTCTTTTATTTTTTTTTTTTTCTGTATGTTTAAGACTTTTCACAATACAGTAGAAGAAAAAAGTCCACTGTCTAAAAGGAGAAACTACTGTGTTTCCCCGAAAATAAGACATCCTCCGAAAATAAGACCTGGCGCATGGAAAGATAAGACATCCCCTGAAAATAAGATCTAGCGCAACTTTGGGAGAAAAAACTAATATAAGACACTGTCTTATTTTGGGGGAAACAGGGTATTACCAGCAAGTTGGTACACATTTTAACCTGGACCATAAAGAACAGGTCTTAAGAAAAATATGTAAAGGCTCATTTGGGAAAGACAAGGAAATCTCGGTTAGTTCATCTTCACCAGTCACCCACCACAGGCTGGGCTCACACCACATGGCCAGGTGCTGCCTGGATGCTGCCATGCCCCGAGCCTAGGGAGTCAGCCTGGGAACCTTAAAGCTGGTAGGTGTTTACTAATATGCTACTATTTTAAAAATATTGAATGCAACCTTTTGTTTCTCAATGAAAACGAAAGACACTTTGAGCCAAGTGGAGGGGACACAATGTTGTAACAAGGAAACCCATCATAAGGCAACCATGCTTCCCAGGGAGCCTTCCTATGCCCCAGGTGATAGGCAAAGGTCCTTTCATGGGCTAAGAGATGGTGTATCTTATCCACAGCAAATTGTCACCAAGAGGAAGAGTGCTTGGGTACACATATTAGTGTTTTACAAAATCCTCTTTCATTTATTTAAATACACTTTAAAGACACAGACTTGGAATGATGGCTCCACACCCCAAGTCACACTAACGTAATTCTTCTTCAGAGTCTTATTTTTGGAATCAAACCATAGCTCCTCTCGGGGTAACACAATTAAGCAATACAGCATACACTGAGCATCTCTTCATGCTAAAAGAAAAACAAAGAAAGGGGGTGTGCGTGATAAAAGGGCAGAGTACTTTGGAAGAACAGCAGAGGGTTCGGTGTCTGAACTTCGGGCAGTTGTGTCTCTGGGGGTGACGAGGTGCTTTACCGACTGGGTTCTTCACTGCCCAGGCTTTGCCAAGAGCGAAGCAGGAGTCTGATAAGCCGATGTGTTGGTAGTTAGAGACAATTCCACACATGCACTTGGGGGGAAAACCCTTCAATATGACAACTCCTTACGAAAAACTGAAACTTCTCACCTCTGAACGAAATAAAGAAACTCCAAATAGGGATTGGGGATAAGATGCCCTGTGTTATTTAGAGGCATCCTTATAAATAAATAGCTGACTGTAAAGAAAGTGAAGAACCCTGACAGGATGTCACACATACTTCACTAGAAAAGCAAAGGTTGGGTTGAGAGGAGGCTCTGGGGAGCAGGCATTGAACTCCTGTCACTGTGCTCTCACACTGTTCAGCAGCAGAGGCCAGGGCCTGGCACCACAGCCAACGCAGTCACACAGGGCCTCCGCGGGCCTGGGCTGCAGGCGGGAAGAAGCCTCTCCGCAGCAGCCGATCTGCTATTGATAGAAGACTGTTCTCCTCTCAAACTAGGTTGTCAACCAGTCATTGGATCACCACATCAACAGCTGCTGCATCAACATGCCTTCAGCAAAGGTGCTTGCAGGCTTCTTGAGCATAGCAGCCAGGCCCTGTGCTCTGAGCTGAGAGACACCCTGAGTAGCCAGACCCAATCCCTGACCTTGTGTGTGCAGGGATCCAGCCAAGTGAATAGAGATGGAGAAACACAGAGGAGCCACACCACATAGTGTGAGGAAGTTGTAAGACAATGAAAATAAGACTATCAAGCAGGCACAATACACATTCACGTTCCCTTTTCTCCTCTCTCACTTGATGGCACCACTGTCTTTCCACTCATCCATGCTAGACATTAGAGCATCATCTCTGACACACTTCTCTCCTGCTATAAAACTGTTACCTAGTCCTTAGTCCCATCACTTGGCAACCACCACACACTTCATATCCATCTCTCATTCCTCTAGACCAGTGTTTCCCAAAGTGTGGTACGCATACCCCAAGGGGTACGGGAAGTTTGGTGGGGGTATGCGTCGCACCGGAGTTTGGTGGGGGTATGCACTGTATCGTGCTTAGCTGTGCCTAATTGTACGTTCTCAGGAGTACCAGGGGTACTCAGCATTACAAAAATTATAGAAGGGGTACACATATGTCAAAGTTTGGGAAACACTGCTCTAGACCATAGCTCTGGAACATGTTCTCACCACTGTACACCCACGTGGCAATAATGCTCTCCTAAAGGCTTCCGTTTCCTGGGTATTCCCAATCTGAATTAATTACCTTGCTTTAAAACCAGACTATAGAAAGCGGTTATAGGGTTAAGTCTCGGACTGACCTGCTGACAAAGTCGCACACAAGTCCCAACTTGGAGGGCATAGCCCTCAAGCATAATTAAACTTGATCTTGTGACTTGCTCCCTAGATCTTTCCTGTGCAACTAATGGGCTGTGGGAGGTGCAACAAGTGCTGCCAAACAAGTGAAACTTATAAGAACATTGTAAATTAACTTGTTTACCTCTGACTATAAAATAAACCATCAGCTTGCAGTCTGGATCTGTTCTGTGGCCTCAGCAAGGCACAGAAGATCCACCGAGACCCAGCTTATTCTCTTCGTCTGTCTTTTCTTTATCCTTCTCCGGCCCTCCCTCAGGCTGGCTGAATCTTTGGCTGTGCTGGTGCAGCACACCAGATCAAATATTTAACAGAATATATTGAGCACAAATTGCTACAATAGTTAAGAAAAAAAACTATTTCCATGAAAAATAATAAAAACAATTACAAAAAAAATAAACTAGGTCAAAGCATCACACTCTTATTTTCAAAATACTTCAGAGCTCCTACTGGCCACAGAATCAAGTGTGTGCACCTCATATGGTGAGGCTGCAGCCCTCTAGTTGCCCCCAGTCCACTAACCACTCCTCTCATGGCCTTTACTCTGTCTTACTCTGGAATTTGGAATTATAAACTATAAACTCTCAGAAAGCCTTCTGCATTTCTATATTCCCCACAATGCTTAGAATCACTTTTCTAGCTCAACACATTCTTGTTAATCAGAAGAACAAATGCATTTTGTATTCTGCTCAGGTTTCACAGCTAAACTATGAAAGAAGACAAAATATAGTTGGAAAAAATAGTCTGGCATTCCAGACAATCAAGGTAAACAAATAAGATTCAAAACTAAAATTTAAAGAAGTTGTTTACATTTGAATGAGAGTTAACTGGCTGTCGATATATTTCAAGTTCGAAGCTAAAACACATGGTGGCAAACTACCACTGGTCATTTCTCTATCAGTTCAAAATGGCACTTGAGCACAAACACTGCATTCCCTGCCACATCAATTGTCCTAAAAAGAAGAAAAATGCACAAGAATAAATTACCCCCAATTTTTTTAAAAAGGTCCCCAGTAGTACCTATCCCAAATCCTTACTCCTGCTGTCCCTCCAATTAGGGAGGCCCTCCTATCCCTCAGGAGGCACCCAGCCTAGTTTGCTGGGGGAGCATATTACCTTGGCATCAGCAATGTCCACAAAGTTGTTACTGTCCATGAGCTGGAGATGGTGAGTGTTGAGAGGAGTGCCCAGAGCTTCCAGGGCTTCATGGTGGCTCTGCAGCTGCTCCAATCCCAGCTGGTAGTAGGAAGCCCTGGAAAAAGCTTCTAAGTGAGAAAGACAGTTGTTACATTTCTGTTGTCTTTATTGAACTTAGTCAGGCAGACTCTCTGTAGAGAGTTAGATGATACAATATATGTACAACATGGAAACAGATACAATTATGAAATGTACAGACGGAAGGATTAGGGAAAATCTACTCTAAACTGTCCATTTTAGAGACTCCAAAATCAAAGCCTACAAAGTCAGGATCTGAGGATGTGGCAGGCATTGCTGGGCTAAATACTTAACCTTTCCATGCCTCAATTTATTTTTTTAAATACATTTTAAAAATATATATTTTATTGATTTTTTTACAGAGAGGAAGGGAGAGGGATAGAGAATTAGAAACATTGATGAGAGAGAAACATCAATCAGCTGCCTCCTACACACCCCCTACTGGAGATGTGCCTGCAACCAAGGTACATGCCCTTGACTGGAATCGAACCTGGGACCCTTCAATCTTCAGGCGGACGCTCTATCCACTGAGCCAAACTGATTAGGGCTCCATGCCTCAATTTCTTCATCTCTCATTTCCTGACTTCATTTACTACCTCATTTCTTCATCTAAGGGGTTTGATCTTCTCTCAAGCTCCTTTTGGTCCTAGAACCATAATTTTCTCAGACACACTTGGCTCAAGGTACAGCTGCAGCCAGAATCTATGACTGAACTTCTACTAAAATGAAGGTCATGATAAACCAGCATGAAATAGACCATAACATCAATAACAACAAAACCCTCAGGCCAAGATTATAGAACATTAAAATGCTATTTTTTCAAGTTTACAGGTTTATGCTGACATTTCATGTAGATAAGTTATAACCTGCTCTGTCTCAGATACCCTTCTTGGCCCAAAGTCTTTGAGGAATTCCAGGAAGCACCTCCCTACAACTGCAAGGTACTAGGGAGATAGCCTCTTGGTCAACTGAAAGAATGGTGGAAAGGACACTGTGCTTTGTTCAGCTATCTGTTGGTGGTTCTAACATCCTGGCAAAAAGCAAAAATGCTGTAGGGTGAGGGTGAAGAGCCAAGCTGATAGGGCATAGAAGAGCTTTAAAGAAAATCATTTTTCTGGAAAGAAAAAAAAAAAAAATGCTGCTGTTTCACAACCTTACATGTCTTGGTTACAGTAACTTTGGCTTATCTTTACAAATTCACACACTTGAATGCAGTGGAGCTGGAAGGCACATCTTCAAGATTTTGCCATCCTGGACTCTATTTTTAGTTCCTGCTCTCACCAGAATCCCTTGCTCAAGGTCCCCTCCTCCACTAAACCAACATCAAAGAATGGCAGGACCAACAGGCTGAGCACACTTGAGAAATAGAGCCAATTTTCCCCACCTGTGAACCATCTGGTATCTCTCTGTTCTTTACATAATCTCAACCATCTTGGATCTCCTGTGTACACTCTGGAGCAGACGTCCATCTTACTTTTTGCAAGGCTTCTTATGCAGAGAAATTGGGGTCCTTTTGTTAGCATAGGTAGCTAGATATTAATAAAGGAAGGAAGCAAAGGGAACCAGGCATTAAGAAGCCTAGCAAACTGGGAAGCTGAATCCAATATTGAGCCTGCTTAACTGGAAAGCTATAGCCCTACTCGCCTCTGCCTCAGCCTTGCCACCCTGGCTTTGCCCAGAATGATATTGTCTAATTAGCACATTACCCTTTTATTAATATAAATATGCCTGTGGGATTAGGCCTAAACCAGCAGTCGGGCATCCCTCACAATCCAGAATTGCTGGCTCCTAACCATTCACCTGCCTGCCTGCTTGATTGCCCCTAACTGCCCTCCGCTGCAGGCCTGGTCACCCCTAACTACTCTGCCCTGCTGGCCTGGCCACCCCTAACTGCTCTCCCCTGCTAGCCTGGTCACCCCTATCTGTCTCTGTCTTGGCCCCGCCACCCTGGCTTTGTCCAGAAGAACATCCAGATGTCCAGTCTAATTAACCCTTTTATTAGTATAGATTTTGTCAAATATGGGTATTGCTACTCCAGTTTTTTGTTTGTTTCTATTTGCCTGGGAAAATGTTGCATCCCTTCACTATCATCCTGTGTGTCATTTGTTTTGAGGTGGGTCTCTTGTAGGCAGCATATAATTGGGTCATGTTTTTAATCCTTTCAGCTAACCTACTATTATGTCTTTTGATTGGAGCATATAATCCATTTCCACTTAAAAGTTTTTATTGGCCGGGACCGGTTTGGCTCAATGGGTAGAGTGTCGGCTTGGGGACTGAAGGGTCCCGGATTCGATTCCGGTCAAGGGCATGTACCTTGGTTGCGGGCATATCCCCAGTAAGGGGTGTGCAAGAGGCAGCTGATCGATGACTCTCTCTCATCGATGTTTCTAACTCTCTATCTCTCTCCCTTCCTCTCTGTATAAAGTCAATAAAATATATTTTTTAAAAAAAGTTTTTATTGATAGGTATTTGTTTAGTATTTATTGATAGTATTTATTTAGTGCCATTTTAATTCTTTATGCCTATGTTTCTCTCCCTATATATCTCTTCTCATTGCTGCAGTCCCTTGAGCATTTCTTACAGTGCTGGTTTTAGTGGTGATAAACTCTAGTCTTTTTTCTTTTCTGGGAAGCTTTTTCTACTACAATCTATTTTGAATGATGGCTTTGCTGGATATAGTAATCTTGGTTTCAGATCCTTGGTATTTATTACTTTGAAATATTCATGCCATTCCCTACTGGCCTATAGAGTTTCTGATGAGAAATCAGATATCTGCCTTTTGGGAGCTCCTTTGTAAGTAACAAATTGCTTTTCTTTTTCTGCCTTTAAGATTTTCTCTTTGTCTTTAATTTTTGGAATCTTAATTATGATGTGTCTGGGCATGGCCCTGTTTGGGTTCTTCTTGCTTGGGACTCAGTGCCTCCTAGACTTGTGTGACTTTTTTCTTCACCATGTTAGGGATATTTTCTGCCATTATTTCTTCAAATAGGTTCTCTAGCTCTTGCTCACTTTATTCTCCTTCTGACAATCCTATTATGTGAATTTGTTATGTTTCATGGTATATCAGCTCCCTTAAGCTGTCCACCTGTTTTTTCTTAGTTTTTTTTCTCCCATGTTCTAATTCACTGATCTAATCCTAGGCTTCCCCTAACCCACTGTGTATTCCTTCCACTATGCGCTTTCTTATGCTATGTCATTCTTCATAGTTACTATATTTTTTATCATGCTTTGAGCATCTTTGCCATCATTATTCTGAGCTCTATGTCTGAAAAATTTATCTCCACTTCATTTACCTCTTCTGGAGAATTCTCTTGTTCTTTAATCTGGGCCTCGTATTTTTGTCTCCCCATTTCGGCTATCTGTTTGGGTTTGTGTCTCTTTATTAATGATCTGGTATGAGTCCCAATCGCTAGTGCAGGACAATGTCAGATGCTGTTACTGGACTGAGTACCCTGTTTGGAGCTATCAGCAATCAACAGCTGGTGGCCATCTCTGTTGGGCTAGATGCCTTTGGAAAGGACCAAGATGTGCACCAGGGTCTGCTTTTCCTAGCCCTGGATTAGAACAGGCAAATATCCAAAGCCTGCAGAGACCTACCACTGCCTGCAGTCCCATAACACTCAGTTTTGAATAGCCTCAGCATATATATCACAGGGTAGGGTAATGGGTCCTCCAATGGGGTGGAGTAATGCCTTCCCCTAAGGCAAACACCTCCTGAATAGCAAAGATTAATGGGAGAAAGATATTATATCCTCTCCAGTGTGAGGGAATGACAGCACAGTGAACCAGGGTGGCTGCATTCCAAGCTCCTACCTGAGGCCCCAAACCTGGCTTCTGCTCACACAGCTCACTCTGCCTTCCCTCTGCCAGAGCTCAAGCTGAGTGGCTACACATGAAATTTTATGGGCAGGTACCTGCATTTCTAGTCTTCTCTCTCTGGCAGAAATAAACCCTGCTTCTTGTCACAACTAGATGTTATGTGCATGCCTTGATCAGTTCTGGTGTGCTGGCTGGAGAACCCAACTGTTTTAGACCCCAGAGTTCTCAATGGGAACCCTCTACAGCTGAGATAACCATCAGGAACTTCAGCTGCTGTCTATGGGAGACTGGCCAGCTCTTTCATGCCTCCACACTTCCTACCAATCTCTATGTAGTCTCCACTTTCCATCCTTAGTTATCAGAGTTCTTTCCAGCTAGTTTTCATTGGCTTTTCAGAGTGGTTTCTCTATACTTTAGTTGTATTCCCAGTTTGTTCCTGGCAGAGTATCAGTATAGCTTCCATTTACTCCACTGCCATTTTGGAATCTCTTTTTTAATTCACACCAAGAAGATGTTTAATTGTAGAGAGAGAGGAAGGAAAAGAGAGAAACATTGATTACATGCCTCACATATGTGCTCCAACTGGGAATCAAACCTGAAACCTATGCCCTTACCAGGAATCAAACCTGCAACTTTTTGCTGTATGGGACAACACTCCAATCAACTGAGCCATCTGGCCAGGACTAGAAATCTTTTCTACTGGCAGTCGTACAGACTCAGAAATTGACTTATGATTAGCAGTGTTTATTAACCATTGTATTTTTTTCTTCCATTTTCACAGCTTATGTGTCTATGACATTATTTACCAAACTAGAGGCCCGGTGCATGAAAATTCATGCACTGGAGAGGAGGGGTAGTCCCTCAGCCCAGCCTACCCCCTCTCACAGTCCAGGAGCCCTCAGGGGCGGGAGGTGACCCAGCAATCAGGGGAAGGCAACACTTCTGCCACTGCCATCAGCGCAAGCCTCAACCAGCCGTGGTTACCTGAGCCTTGGGCAGCCCTGGGCAACTGGGCAGCTGCTATTTGAGGCTTGCCTGCACCTAAGGCCAGCTCTGGGAAGCTGGGGGCTGAGGTGACTGGAGGACTCTGGAAGTAGGAGAGAAGAGTGGCTGGGCCTAACTGGGGGCAGGCTCAGCCTTGCCACATGCCTGCCACCCCAGCGGGGCTGAGGGGACTGGGCACCGCCATCTTGTGGCTGTGGGCACCGCCATCTCTGAGGGTGGGGCAGTCAATTAGCATATTTCTTCCTTATTGACTGTGGGTGCCGCCATCTTTGCAAAAGTGTGAGGTTCAATTAGCATATTCCCTTTTGATTAGGATGGATTCTTTACAAAGTATGAGCCTCACTTTGAAAGCCCATCTCATCACCACATATGAAAATGAGACTCAGGTTTGGCTGGATGGACATATTATAAGGACTAAATTGTGTCAGTGAAGTATAAAATGGTCTGCCCGATTCACTTGAAACTGCTTTCCCTTTTCTGCCCAAGTTGTACAGAAAGAAAGGCTGCTTCAGAAGGGAAATCTTGGAATGTTCCCTTCAGCCTCATTTCAATGTATGATAAAGAAAGATTCAAACATGTGATACATCTTCCTACCGGGACGCTCCTCCTCCACTTTAGTCTGGAACACTCCTTCTATCACCTGGTTCTTACCACTCACCACCCTTTAGCTGCTATATTTCTCCTCGTTTTTGAACTAAGCCTTTTTATCCTTTCTGTCAAATTTGTCACCTCCAGAATAGAAGAATGCCAGCCTGTCCAACAGCGCCATCCTCTAGATATAACATGTGCCACCTCCCAAGGACGGCCACACACCAGCCTGGACTTTATAATAACCCCTTCCCTGTGTGAAGTCTCCCATTTCTGCTCTTTTCTTTCTTTGGCAGATAGGAAGAATTTCTGGGTCTGTGGACCGGCAGGACTATGCTCTGTAACAACAAGATGATGTTACAAAGATGAGATCTCTATCCGTTTACTACCCTTATAAGATTATAAGGCCCAAGGTTCTCCAGGGGGGAAATATGTTAGTGTAGGTAGCAAGATATTAATAAAGGAAGAGAACAAAGGGAATTAGAAATTATGAAGCCTAATAAACTGGTAAGTTGAATCCAATGTTGGACCTGCTTCACCAGAAAGCTATAGCTTCACACATTCCCCAGGAACAATCGATCCATTCCCCCTGGATTACCAGGGGTGGGACAGAACAATAAAGAAGAATTCCTCTGCTGGATGCATATTTAGTAGAAGCCAAGATTGTATAGAGGGAGGTGATTCTACTATGAGGCATGCACAGAAGAAACTAAGATTGAAACCATAAAGACCTGTATTTCTAGCCTGGAAAGAGGATCAGACTGGATAAGGGACACAGGATACCTCCCCACCCACCCCCCCAAAAAAAAAGAAATCTAGTAAATGAGTTGGTTAGGAAGTTGAAACCAGCAGAAGCAAAGGATTGGGAAAGTTCATTGGTTATTTTAAAAGGGCACCTTGCCCTTCCCAAGCCCAAGATAATATAACCCAAACTTATTTAACAAATCTTTTGCATTCTCTCTCTTGCTTGGTAACACACACTCACCCCATTTGTTTGACGTTCTCTCTCCGTAGCAGCCATGCAGCCAGCATTTGTGCAGACTCCAACTACTGGCAGCATCAGACAGAGTGCATCCGGGAACAAACTATGCTAGCTGGATGAGGACAGATATGGCCGAAATGGGATGAAGCTTCAACATGGGATAGAACTTTTGGACAAAGGCTTTGTACTGGGCTTATGAAGACAAGGCTAAACATTTTCATGGTGATGGACAGAGACACTGGGGACCTGGGGGTTGCCTTCTATTTCTACCCAAATAAATCTTACCACCAGACCTCATCCTCCTATGTGGGTTCATGGAAATGCTACTTTCGTGATACTGCAAGGATCCATTTCCACCAGCAACACTTTTATTTGCACTTGTGGCTCCTAAAAAACTGGGATTATTGGATAAGAAAAAGGCCACAGAAATGAATGGTGTACTGGTTTCTAAAAACAACCCCCTCCTCCTTGCTAATCTGCAGAGAGCATGTGAAGTATTTCCTATGATTGAGGAACAGGGGAAGAGAGTTAGGAAGAGGCCATGCCTCAGGCAGTTTGCTGGATACTCACTTTGTATAAGGTAATAACCAAGGGCACAGACCCCACTAGACATCACACTGCTATAAAGGACCACTTTTCCCAGAGGCATTTGTGGCATCCTGCTTCCTAGAGCCTTAAAAACAAAAGATTAAAATTGATTGTTAGATTCAGGTTGTGTGAAGGGCTTTGTTGGTCTAGATTAGGCCCAGAAGGAAAGAAAAGCAAAGAGGAAGCCTAAAAAGAGACAAAGCCATCTTTCCTCCTTTGCTTCCTATCAGATGCCAGGGCTGGTTCTGGAGCCAAAGCAAAAGTATCCTTCTGAGGGGGCCCCAATCCAGGATCCATACTATGGGGGCAGTGGCTGAGCACACAGCAAGCATTTAGCCCTGATGTCTTGACAGACAGAATCCCAACTTGTGTGCCAGATGCTGCCCGGCCAAAAATCACAGCTACTTTGTGACATGCTGGCTTCTTTTGTGGCAATAGCTGATCTTGTAAGCTGTTGAATGGGTGGACACTGACTGCTTTTCTTTCATATCTGGAAAAATGTTCTACCCAGGGGATGAGGAAACTGTGGTCATGATTTTCAGGCTGAATGAACAGACAGAGAGGATTCAACTCAGCCAGTTCAGAGTACCAACACCAACCCTTGCATAACTCCTGTCTGGGTGGGACTAAGAGCAACATGTAGGCCTTGATGTGGCCAAATCTCCTCCTGCTCGGAGACCATTCAACCAGACTCAAAGCTATAAAATACTCAACCATAAGACAGAGTAGTATCTAGGTTTCCATAGGGGTTATGATTCAAAAGCCCAAAGGGCTAGAAAAAGTCACACAAATGAGAGCAGACATGTGGGCCAAGTCCGAATGAGTTTTCCAATTTTTTCAAATGTTTTTTCATTTGAAATTGCCTAAATTCTAAAATTTGATAACCAATTAAAAAAAAAAAAAAAAACTAACAAAATACACCTGTGATTCAGATTATTTCTGTGGGGTTCTAGTTTGCTGTGACGGCTCAAACAGCACGAGGACATCCTTACCCTAAATGAGAAAAATCCATCTTTGTCCTTCTTGGTTGATATTTCTCAAAAATAAATAAATAAATAAATAAATAAATAAATAAATAAATAAATGTTAAAAAGAGAGAGGGATTTTTGAGCTGACATGGAAATTCCAAGTTTAGGTAAAGGAAAAAATGACCATAAGTATTTATGCCCTGAACACTTAACCTTATCCTAAATGAGAAAAATCCATCTTTGTCCTTCTTGGTTGATATTTCTCAAAAATAAATAAATAAATAAATAAATAAATGAATGTTAAAAAGAGAGAGGGATTTTTGAGCTGACATGGAAATTCCAAGTTTAGGTAAAGGAAAAAATGACCATAAGTATTTATGCCCTGAACACTTAACCTTAGATTTTCTGAGCTTCTTTAGAAAACAAAGCCTTTGATGTGGCCTGATGGAGCGGGAGGCATTGCAGGGGAAAACTGGGTATAATGCTGAATCTGTGAGTTAAGATGAACACATTCTTACTGTCTGCTTCTCTGACTTCTAGAACATGGAGAGTAATAACAACTGTCTACCTATTATTTCCAGAAACATGAAGGAAAATGAATCCTCATGTGAATATTCTTTCTGGAAACCAACAATTAAACAGACCCTTAAGCAGTGCTACGATTGAATAGTTTCATACAAAAATAACCTTGAATCCAGATTTATGTATATAAAGAATTTTGATCAACTTATAAAATGAGGCAAGGTGAAGGTTTCGCTTATCCATGTATTACATAGTTTTGTTTAACTAAGAAAAGGCAGCTGGAACAACAAATAAATGTACTAAAGCTGCTGTAAAGAGTTTCAGCTGGTGCAATATATTAATAGCACGCAAGAATATTTATAAAAGTTTAATGTAAAGTCAATTAAAGTAATGCAATCTGAAAAAAAAACAAAACACATTTAATCTAATAATCTAATAATGAAAATGGTCTGAACATCTCCAAAGAATGCACTGGTAAGATCTTGCTTAATTTGAAAGTGTCTTCAACAGAGTAGGACAATGAGCAAGAGCTCTGCAGAGTTCCTCACAAGATTGTATAATAGTTTCTAAAGTTAGCAGGAGGCATGAAATAAAAGACATCCTGGAACAATGCAGAGAGCAGCCACCCCATCCTTCATGTGAAGTTACAACCACAAGTGAAAATTAATGACCAGAAAAACTCACAGCTATTCAGGCAGCAATTTTCATCCACTGTCTAACTTCAGGGTACCCTGGGGGATTCTAATGGGGAACCTGGCCAGGAGCATTCATTACCTTTTGCCACTTTGTATCACCGCTTTCTTGAAAATCACCAAAGGAAATGTGCCCTGCAATTAGATAATAATTTTATATTAAAATCACTTTTTCAAACCCAATTCTCTCTGGTGTCTAGTTTTATAGATCCAAGATTTATTACCAACCCAAGCTTTAGAACATGAACATGAAGTAAGTTTGACCTCTAAAACAAGCCTTGTCTTAGGGGGCCCAGTTTTCCCCTTTCTCTTCTGCCTTAGGAGGAAAATCCAAAGCCAGCCACCAGAAAAGTGATGTGGGGAAGGGAGGGTGGCGGCAGAGGGCATGTGACCTCAGTGCACACAATCATGGGCCCACCAAAACAAGATGCTATCCATATAAGCTGTACACCCTGGATTAAAAACAGCTTTTCAGGGTTAAAAGGAAATAAATATATACATAGCCTTTAATAATATTGATAATAACAGTGAATATTTGTATCTCTTACTATTAAGTGCCTGGTAGAGAGAAAAAGATGTGTGTAGTAAAGATGTGTACAACAATCCCATGAAGTAAGAACTATTGTTATCATCTCCAGAGCGGTTAAGTAATGTATCTCATGTCACACAAATAGGCCTATAAGTGGTAGAACTGGGATCCAGACCCAGGTGGTCTATCTCTAGGGACTGTGCTTTCAACCATGATATACTGACTTTAAGATACCCACTGATTTCAGAAATACCGAAATGTCCAGAAAAATCATGTGTCTCTGAATTACAATAAATTCATAATATTCAGTGCAAAAGCCTTGTCAGGTATGCCCTCCCTGCTATTTTCCCAGATAAGAATGTAGCATGTGTATATAGCTTTATTCTTCCTTTTGCTTTTGGATGTTGTGGGCTTTTCAAACAGTGATGAGGAGAATCCAGATAATTCACTATAATTACAGCACAAATAGAACCAGATGAACATGGTTCTGGGCATGCCACAACCCTACCAGAGTGCCACTGACAAGGTAAACAAGTTAGACACATATACAAGATGAGGCAGAGTAGGTTTACAGTCGTGAGTAGGTGCAACACAGAGTTTACGCTTGTATTATTATTTATCAATGTATTATTTTCCCTATGAACAACTGTAAGCCTTCTTTTGCCCCACCCTGTATTAAAACGGTTTCCTAACAATTGAAAGTTCTCTGAAGTATCTTGAAGAAGGGATGGGTGCCTTTTTCTAATTTGCACAAAGGTGCCAATAGGCAAGCAGAAGCCTGGTTAGTGTGTCCAGGGGGTGTACCAGGAGAGAAAGCAACACCAAGGAAGTGGTCAGCCCTGTCTAGAGATCAGCAAAGGAAACTGACTCCGAGTAAGAGAAAGGTGAAGGAGTGAGAGAAGGGCTTCAGATCAGTAAGAACAGCAAGCAAAGGCCGAGCGGCAGAAACAAGAGCTGCAGTGCTGTGGAGAGCTGGTGGGGGGCCACGGGAAATGGACCTGCAAATGGAGTCTGTCACTGCCATGAATGGCTGTATACCCTGCTGGACTCTTCCGTGTATTATTTTGTACCGTATTACTCCTGTCATTGGGCTATGTCTTACAAGCCGAGTTTGTCAAAGTGAATTATTTTCTCTACACTGCCCCACCAAATTGCTAAAACCATGGTTCATTTTAATATGCCAGAAGCAGGCATATAGGCAGTTGAAGAAAGTGTTACCATTGCTAGCTAAGTACTAAAAGAAAGAGAGCAAAGGGAGGGTCAAACATTGTAACCAGTTTGGCTCAGTGGCTGGAACATCCGCCGGTGGACTGAAAGGTCCCAGGTTCCACTCCCATCAAGGGCAAGCACCTTGGTTGTGGGCACATTCCCAGTAGAGGGTGTACAAGAGGCAGCTGAATGATGTTTCTAACTATCTCTCTCCCTTCCTCTCTATAAAAAATCAATAAAATATATTAAAAAGAAAGAAAAAGATGAAGGTATTGAAAAATATAGTTATGTGGATGTAAAGTACAGCATAGGGAATATAGTCAATAGCATAATCATTATGAACTTATATAATGCCACTTAGGTACTGGAAATATCAGGGGGAACACTTTGTAAAACATGATTATCTAACTACTATGTTGTATACCTGAAACTAATCCTATTTAATAAAAGAGCAATATACAAATTAACCATCACTCATATACTTCCACAAGCCACACCCACCAGCCAATCAGTGGGAGTATGCAAATTAATCCCAACCAAGATGGCTGCAGCCACAAAGAGCAGGAGAGAGGCTTGGGTTTCCCTAGCAATGGAGGAAGCCAAGCTTTCCACATACCCTGGCAGGCCCAGGGCTCCACTAAAGGTACAAAGTTTCAACTATATAAGGTAAATAAATTCCAACAGAAATGGTGGCAGCCACAGAGCTGGAAGAGCAGGAGACTAGGGTTGCCCCGGGCAATGGAGGAAGCCAAGCTTCTGCAGCCTTGGCGGCTCAGGCCTTCACTCCATGCTACAAAGTTTCAATTATAGAAGACACATAAATTCCAACAGAAATGGCTTCCGCCATGGAGTGGGCAAGAGGCTTGGCTCCGTTCCAGGCTACAAGGTTTCAACTGTAAAAGATAAATTCCACATAACAGGACCTCCGCTTGGGTTGCCAGGGAGTGTGGCTGGCCTGCAAACCACCACAGGCCCCTCGCCCAGGCCGACCCATGCCCAAAGGGAACACCCATCCTGATCCAGGACACCCTTCAGGGCAAACCAGCTGGCCCCCACCCATACACCAGGCCTCTATCCTATCTAATAAAAAAGTAATATGCAAATTGACTATCAATCCAACACACAAGATGGCTGCCCCCATGTGGACACG